TTGAGAAGAGTCTTCCATCACCCAGCCACCACCCTAAGCACAGACCCCCTCTAGAAATATTTGAAGCCAGTAGTGCACTTTAGGTAGCTACAGCAACAGCAGAATCCAAGCCCAGTTTTCTTCTCTGAGTAGAGTGAATCAACCCCTACACTAGAAATCGAACAGAAAAGTTTTGCCATCTGCAGGTTGAGGTGTTTTTTTTTATTGTTCTATATGCCATGTCTGACCCCAGGACCCCAAAGACAAGTGAAAAGGACCCACTATCAAGACATAAGCAACCAACAGACTCAGAGATGATTCCAAAGTCAGAACTCCGAGACTCGTGTTAACATATTAAAGATCCGGTAGAAAAGGTGAACAGCATTCATGAATAGATGAGAAATTTTAGCAGATAGCTGGAAACGGTGAGTCAACTGTAGATGTCAGAAAAAATGTAAAGAGATGAAGAATGCCTTCAAAGGGCTCCCCACAGCACTTGACACTGCTATGAGAAGAAAAGCAAACCTTAAGGAAGTCGATGGAAATTACCCAACCTGAAACACAAAGGGAAAAAGAGCAAAAAGAAAGAATAAAAAGGAGAGAGTTAAAGGATAGCGCATCCGCTATGGATGGGACAATAACCAGGGTTCTAATTATAACTGGAATTTCAGAAGGTAAGAGAAAGACAATGAGGCAAAATAAATATTTGAGCTGAAAATTGCCAATAATTTTCCAAAAATTAAATAGCATCAAATGACTGATCCAAGAAGATCTGAGGACCAGCTTAAGCTGCCAGCCAGGTCTTTTGCCTACAGATCAGAAGGTCACACTTTGAACCATGAGAATGTCTTTTTCACAAAGGAGTTTATTTGAGGTGACCCCCAAGGGGAGCCAGCAGGGTAAACACCTAACACCTGACCCCCCTCCAAATGGCAGGGGTTCTGTGATTACATACTGAAGGAAGGAATGTGAGGGGGTATGTGACATGGAGGGAATGAGGGGTACCCTCCCCAGGTCCCAGGCAGCACAGCAGTGTGGGCACCCTAGGCCACCTGTTCCAGGGAGTGGCCTTTGGGGCGCTCCGTCCAGACCAGCAGGTGTTAACCCTTGGCATGATTATCAACCTGGAAGGAACACTCAGAACTTTCGTTAGAGACTAGAGACGCAACACATTTGGTTTTCAAGGCTCCCAAGAATGCAGTTGAAGAAAAATACATTAGTTGTGAGTTAAAAGTTAATCGCAGGGAGGAGACGAGGGAGAAGAGAGAACAAAGAGTGGTTAGAATTTAATTCTGCTTCATTCTATTTTCTAACAAAACGTTTAAGCTACAAAATGGAGAGTTATACCCACCCCCTAAACACTAACAAAAGAAAAACTCAGACACATTCTACTCAAATGCTGGAAACCAATGATTAGAGATACCATTAAAGAGGCATCTTTAATGAGAATAAAGAGAATATCTCAGAAGCAGCTAGAACAGACACACCGCAGAAACACACATATAATAATTACTGAAAATGTCTTATCAGAAACTACTAAACCAGAAGATAATGGAGAGACATCTTTTAACTACTGAGAGGAGGGAAAAAAAAAAAAATCACTCCAGAATTCGATCTCTGAAAAACAAACATACAATGCTTTTCCAAGCCAAAGCAGAGAAAATTCAACATCTGCACGTCTCTACCATTAGAGAAAATCTTCAGCAAAGGAATAGGATACAAAATAGACATTTGAATCGACACAAAGAAATCGTCTCTAAAAAATAGGTTAAAAGATAATTTTTAAAAGTTTTTTCTTTTTTATTATGTAGAAGAATTGGGGAGGAGGCCAAAGGTGAGGGGGTGGTGACAGGATTTGTCAGAGACAGAGTGGGGAGCAGAACAGGCAGACTGACTGAAATATACTGCTGAGGGGAGCAGCGGGCGGGACAGGAAAGGTCTGCTGTGCCATGTGGGTCACCTCCCTGGCTGGGAAACAAACTCAGGCCGTAGCTGCGATAGTGCTGAGACTTAACCCCTAGGCCACCAGGGAGGCCCTAAAAATTTCTTATTTTAAATTATTTTAAGTTCAGATAAGTGACTGAAGCAAAAACAGTTGCAATATATTGTGATAAAGGATGTCTATGTAAAGGATGTTTAAAAAAAAAAAAGCTTTTGATTAAAAAAACCCAAATGTAATTTTTTTTTTTAATGGCCCAACACTTTTTGAACACTTTTCCAAAGAAAATATACAGATGGTACTTCAGCCCATGGAAAGGTGTTTGGCATCTTTGGTCCTCAGGGAAACACAAACCAACCCCAGCAAGACCCCACTTACACACCTAGTAGAAGGACTTCAAGCAAACCACCCACACCTGACGACACTGGAGGCCTGAGGCCGGAACAGCTGAAACTCACACGCCCGGCTGACGGCAAGACCAAATGACTCAGCCACTCTGGAAAACAGTTTGCAGTTTCTTCCAAACATACACTTATCCTATGACCAGCAACTCTCACTCATTGACCTGCGAGAAATGAAAACTCATATTCACATAAAACTTGAATATGAATATTTATGGCAGTTTTATTTCTAATCATCCCAAATACTAGAAACCATCCATCCCGATGTCCTCTAAGCAGGAGAGGCATGAAGATGTTGTGGCGCATCCACACCATGGAAAACTGCTCAGTGATTAAAAAAAAGAACGAACAACTGGCACGCAATGGTATCTTTAAATCTCGCAAGCATTAACTGGGGGAAGCCAGCCTCAGAGGCTGCACATGGTATGATGTTCCATGATATTCTGGAAATGGCACAAGTATAGGGACAGAGGACAGAGCAGAGATGCTAGAGGCAGATGGGTAGAAGGGTTAACTATTTGGGGGACTTTGAGGGGGATGATGATATGGTTACCCAACTTGATGCCATTGTTGAAATTCATTAAAAAGGGTGTGATTTGCTCAATGTCAAGTATGCCTCAAGTCAAAAAATAGCTTTCGTCTTGGGTGCAGAAGCTGCTGTGCTCCCCTCCATAGGCTGTGAGGCATTCTGGATGGAAAAGGACTAAAAACAGCTGTTCGACTGGAAATACCGAGTACCTGCTGTTGATAAGGCAGGTCAGGAGAGTGTATGGGGACATTGGCTGATATCTGTTGAACACCTTTTTGTTCTTATCTGAGTCACTGCAGGCTGTGAGCCTTGCACAAAATGTTCAAGGGCTTATCCTTCCAAGCCACACCTCTTTGCCCCTAGCAGGAGGGACACCATCTCTCTGCAGGGCTGCCTGGATGGCATTTCCTGCATTAAATGAAAAGTGGCACCCTCCCAGGGGCTTCACAGACTAGCGTGGGACACATCAATGTCTCCCCTGGTGCACAGCATTGCGACATTTTTATGTACATGGAATTTGTTTGAAATGGGCTCGGCACCTTGAAGGGACAGAGTGGGAAGAAGGAGCCAGTGGAGGTGGGGAGGGCGTGCAGGCCAGGACTGGACAGGCATGGGTGATTGTGAGGGGCAGTGGCACAGCTTGCTGCAAATAGGGGCACCAGGTTTCTCTTCTCATCGCTGGCGCAGACCTGCTTACAGGCTCACCAGAGTGTCTGGCTCACTACAAGGACCTGTCCTGTCGTGCTCATCACTGTCCCCTGTGGCCTAGCACAGCACCTGGCCAGAGTAAGTGTTCAGTTAATGCTTATTGAGGTCATGCTTAAGCTGGTTTCTCTAGACAAAGTCATCTCTGGAAGCAGCCTGGTCATCCAGAGGCCGAGGGTAGCCAGGCAGAGACCTTGGCTCATAGAAGCACCTAACCGCCTCTTCAAGTCCTACATGGGGCCAGCATGGCTCACAGCCAGAGTCCTTCTCTCATGCCAACTGGGCCTTTATTGTGCCAGTGAGGCTGAGGGAAGTGGCCGTGCATGGGGCAGCAATTTCTCCCTGACCTCTGGGCTCCCCATTTTCTGCTCTTCCAAGAGGGAAAAGGAAGAGCAGAACAGAAGGCTAGTCCAGGGGGCGCTGATGCAGTAAGCTCCCCAGTGACAGAGGTGGTTCAGCGGATTCCTGCTGACCTTCCTGGCTGCCCCCACAGGCACGCCTCACCGATCGTGCCCACATGATTGTACTCCAGATACTGCTCTTCTGACAATTTGAAAGTGTGTGGCAACCCTGTGTGGGCAAATCGATGGCACCATTTTTCCAAGAGCATGTGCTCACTTCATGTCTGTGAACATTAATTAAGGGACAGAGGACAGAACAGAGATGCCAGATACACGTGAATAGAAGAGTTAACTATTTGGGGGACTCAGAACAGGGTGATGATATGGTTACCTAACTCGATGCCATTGTGGAAATTCATAATAAAGGGAGCATTTTCACATTAATTAAGAGTTGTCCATTGTTTCTTGGACATAATGCTATTGCATACTCAACAGGCCACAGACTAGTGTAAACTTTACTTTTTTTTTTCTTTAATAACAAGTTTCTTTTTTTTTAAGATTTATTTATTCATTTATTTATACAAGCACTGGGCACAGTCAGAAGCGCGGGAGGATGAGAGAATTCGCCAGAGCCAGAGCAGGGAACAGAACAGGCAGACCGATGAAATACACCGCTGAGGGGAGCAGCGGGCAAAGCAGGAGAGGTCTGCGCGCCATGTGGGACCCCCGCCCGGCAGCCGGGCTGCAGGCAGCCTTGCAGGCCAGCGCTCAACTGCTGTGCCACCAGGGGAGGCCCTGTAAACTTTACTTTTACATGAACTGGGAAACCAAAAACTCGAGTGACCTGCTTTACTTCAGTATTCACTTTTTTGCTGTTATCTGGAATTGAACCCACAATATCTCTGAGGCATGTCTGTCCTTATAAATTAAGTGCTTATAAAGGGGAAGTCAAGCCTATGCGCAAGCCCCAACTGAGGGGCTGGCACTGGCTCCACTGCTTCTCACCTTGGGCCTGAGAAGGGGTGCTGTGGGTATGGCTTGTTCCTCTGGCAACTGTGTGGCTGTGCTTCTGGTGACCATGGCAACCCCAGAAGCATAGCCAGGTGAGTGCTGCCTGGGCAGCCCACTTGGTTGGCTCTGTCAGGTTTCTGCAATGATGCTCATCACAGACCTGACATCTCGGTGGGCTAAACCAGAAGAGCTCGTCTTTCCTGCACAGTTGGCAGGTCGGGTCAGCCCATGTTTATCTCATTCTGGGACCCAGCCTGGAAGGGCTACTGGGGCAAGCACTTCTAGAGGCAAATGACAGGAGCATAGGGCCAGGCAATGCCCTACCTCCCGTCCCCCTTCCCACACTAAGTAGCCCCTGCTCACATCTCATCCACTGACATTCCATTGGATAAAGCAAGCCAAGGCCAAAGACAGTGGTGGGGCGGGGACGGGGGAAGATTTGGCTTATCTTCAGGGAAGCAGGTGAAGGAAGGAAGGATGGGGTACAGCCAATGCAGCCTGCCATCACACCTAGGCAGGATGTGCCTCCGGATCTAAGAATGTCCCATCTCCAGGACAGGTGCAGGAGGATGACTCTTCAGGCAGGGCTGGGACAGGTGGAGGAGGGGTCCTTTTCAATGACTTTCCACTGAACACAATCTTTCTTTATATAAGTTACGCATTAAATCCAATTACAGTCCTGCTGACTGAGGACTCTTCTAAGGTGACTTTGTCTGCTTGGCTCTGATACAGGAGGTCTCGAGCCCATCATCCACCTTCCAAGGTGAGTCTCCTTTCCCTTACTTCCCTTCACTCGGGATGCCTCACCATGTCTTCATGGGGTTCCTCCTCAGGTAGCCCAGGAGAAGGTGGCTCTTTGAAGACCAGGGGCCAGATAGTATTCATTTAGAATCGGCTACCTTCTGAATTCCTGTGTTGAAACCTAACCCCCAGGGTGATGATATCAGGAGGTGGGGCTTCTGGGAAGTGACTATGTCAGGAGGTGGAGCCTCATGTATGGATTCCATGCCCTTATAAGAGAGACCCACATTGTTCCCTCACCCCTTCTACCTTGCAAGGACACAGTGAGAAGGGCCCTCTCTGAGCCAGGAAGCTCTCACAAGACACCAAATCTGCTGGTACTGTGATCCCAGACCTCCTCAACCTCCAGAAGTGTGAGAAGTCATGCTTGCTGTTGTAAGCCCTCCTGCCTATGGTATTTTGTTACAGAAACCCGCATGAACCAAGACAGAATTTTTCCAGTGATCTCAACCTACCTATGTGGAATTGAGTATGAGCTTCTGGGAGCTTCCAGAGAAGGGATGTGACAGCGGCCGTTTTCATGACATGTCCCCCCACTAAGGGCACCCTCCATGAGATGGACGATATCTTGACCACCACAGTTGCTGCAGAGCCCGTGATAAAGAATTTAATTGTCACAGATGATTTAATAAATAAATTAAAGCCTCAATGGATGGGTGGGAGAAGAAATAAATGAATCCAAGATCCCTCCTCCTCCTGCCAGCTGCCGCTGGCACTCCTCAGCCTCTCGTCCAGGTAGCATGTAGGTTTTCAAGGGCATGTCCTCCAGCATTGTCCCTGTCACCACGCTGCCAAACTGGCACTTCTCCTGGGAGGACAGAATGTTCTCTTCCCAACACCTTTTTTCCATCGGTTTCCATTTGCCTTCCTGAGACTCAACAATGGCTGATTCAAGACCATGAGTCATGCTGGTTCTGAATGAATGAATGAATGAATGGGGGATGCTGAACAGACGTCACCAGCATCACACCCACTGACAAGGTGGTGCTCTTTTTCTTTGCTGGGAGACGAACAAAGAAATGGTCCTCTGGCCATCTCAAGGGCCAGGATTCCAGCCTCGGCCCCCACCTTCTCCTAGTAATTGCACAGACAAGAGCCAGCCTTCCTCCTACAGAGCCTGGGGGAAACCTGTGAGCCACCTGGGTGCGACTCTGATCAGACAGCCCCCTGAGCTCTGATCAGATGGCCCCCCCGAGGAGAACATCATGTCCTGGTCGTCTCTAAAGAGAGCACCATGTCCATGAGCAGAGCTGCGTCTGCTGCCTGAGAACCACTTAGAAGCGAACACTTGAATTTCCACTGGCTGTTCTGCTTAGCTCTCACTCGCCCTTGCTGCACATTGGATAAGTAGGGAGAGGTGCTCCCCATCTCTGAAGGCTGCTGAGGAGGCGGAGGGCACATCCTGCTGCTGTGCTTTGTTTTCCTCTTCTGCATTTCTGAGGTTTACTGGTGCCGATCAGGGTCTATTGGTACATTTTAAGAGCATTTTAGCAGTCGGGGGGCATTTAGCCTATTATCTTTCTGATAGGAAGTCAGATAGAAATGAGAAATAACTTTTATCTACTTCAGGGTCCGTGGGGGGTCCAGCTGCACCTCCAGCAGCGCAATAGCCAAGGGGACCAAGTGGTACCCGTGCACCAGCCGAGGGACTTGATTCTTACCATCAAGTTGCTCACAGTCCAGGCTGTGGCCAAGGACACAGATGCAGCCCCAGAGGAGCGGGGCTTCCTTTGCACCTCAGTCTCACTTTTGCAGAAAAGTAGAAGAATCCCAACTGGGTTAAGAATGGTCAGCAGGGCACAACTTAGTCTCTCGTGATTAAGACAGGAGGATGACATGGTATTGGGGGTGTCAGAGGAGAGCTCCAGGCATCTTGAACTCTACCCAGTCTTTTCTGGCAAACCTTTTCCAAAGGTTCCCTGACAACCCAGAGCAGGCAGCAGCCAAGAACAACATTGCAGGTGGAAGAGCACCTGGTAGCTTTCATTTTCCCATGTGTTATTTAATCCTCATTGCCCCTCTGTGTAGGTATCATCACTGTGCCCATTTTGTAGATGAGAAAACTGAGACTCATTGAGGTTAAAGAAGCTTCCAGTGGCTACCAGCCAAGGAGCAATAAGACTGAGTCCCTGTTCTGGTCTTGGCTCGTCCTTTCCCGGGGCCCATACTGCTGTCTGCCACTCAGAAAGAGGGAGAGCAAAGCTGTGAATGAGTCTGTGCTGGTCCACAGGCATGTGAGGGAGCCCCTCCTGGCTGTGCTGGGGGACACACACCACCAATGCTGCTGCACTGGGGAGGAGAAAGCCATGATAAGGGCCACTTGGGAACAAAGGAGCCAGCTTCTCTGGGCACGCAGGGCTCCCTGCGCCTGCTATGGGGTCATGTACAGGTTCACTGCCAAGGGCAGAGCTGATTATTCCACAATGGCAGCTCATTAATCCCCATTAGCTCTGCTACCTGAGAACTGTGCCCCCAATCTCTTGCCAGTGGAGTCCCCTCTACCTCCCCTGACGTTTTCCCTTATTTCCCAATTAATCCACATCCCGCCACTATAGCAGTAATTGGGGGCAAACACTTCAAAACCTCACACTGCATGAAGATGAACATTTTTTTTCCTAAAATTGCTCCCCCAACCAATGGTGCCCATAGTGGAATGGGAAAAATGAACTCATCTCTCTCCGCCTCTCAGCTGTGTCTCCAGGCTCAGCCTCCTTTGTCAGGGGAGTTATTTTCTTTCTGTCGAGTGTGTCTTGTCTAACACTGAGCTGGGGTCTGGCAGTGGGGAGTGAAGTTGGACAGAAATAAAGAGATCTGGGCTCCTTTTGTTCTATGCAGGCGGATGCTTGAGAACATCCCAGTGCCGACCAAAGGAAAGTCTATCTGGTCAGAAGACTAATCTATTCATTTACTTACACTTACAAAGCAAGTGCCTTGTGTGACTATTTTTTTTTTTTTTATGAGAATTGCTGCAGTGTCTGGGCCTGACAGAAAGGAATTACCGCTCAGCATCAGAAATAGTTGTGGTGCCAATGTCCTAATGACACAGGAATGGCAGCTTTCAGAGAGGAAAAGAGTCAAATGTCAATTAGCACAGGATTTTGGACAAGAGCCAGAAATGTCTCCAAGCAAAGGTCAGTAGCTGAGGATCAAAAGTTCCCCCAACACACACACACACACACACACACATTTTTCTTTTGTTCTATCCTCTCAAACTAGCCAACCCATATATAAAAAATAGCATATAATACATTGTATTTAATAATATATAATAGTATATACTATATGGTAGTATATATTATATTTAGTATGTATTATATATTTCAGTAGGAGCTAAGGCATCCAGTATCCATCAGTTAGTTCCTCTGGAACTCAGGACTTAAGATCTTTGCATTCTCAATACCAGGGACCTCCAAACACCATGAAGTTAGCTAGGGATATTTAAATGCAATTGGCCGACCCAGCTTCCTTATCCTGGCCTGAAATCTTTTCTCTCCCTACCCTGGACAGAAGATTCTTCCGGAAATGTCTTGGTCGCCCTTTTCCAATATTCAGGATCTTGATGGAAGGAACACAGTTTGGATACCACCCTCTTCCTGGACCCCTGGCCACATCCCAGAGGGAGGGTTCTTGCTTGTCCTCAGATGCCCACCTGGGCTTCACTTCCCAGGCCACTCGTTGAGATGCTTCCCTGCCAAGGGAGCTGGGGCTTCCTGTTGGTTGTTACGGGAACCAAGGTTCACTGGGATCCTGGCTTTTAACTCTGACGTTGGTAGCATGTGTCAGCAAGGGTCCTGGCCATTCCCCAGGTGCACACTTTCCTCCAGGGTGTACCGGCTGCTGTCTGCCCTGCTGTGATCGGCACTTCCATCCCCGTGTCGTCCTGGGGTTTTCTCTCCATTGGTTCAAAGAAACTGGCTCTTCCACCTAAGGTAGAATCTAATAAACCAAGAGAAAAGGAAAGTGTCTGCTGTTATCTGAGATAGAAAAGTCATCTGAGACTCAGCTCTCTGCAGACAGGTACTGTCTGCCAGGGAAGCAAGGCTGATGGCGGGAAACCAGGACACCCTCCTGCCCTGGTGTCAGTGGAAGGGCCATAACTGACTCTGTGGGGACTCACGATGAGACCAGACCAGAAGGTGAGGAACCGCTGGCACTTACAACACTCCAGGCAAGTGTGAGGAATCGGTGTGAGGACTCGGGGATAGGACATGGTCCCTATCCCCATCCATCCATCCATCCGTCCATCTGTAGCATGTTATGTTTAGCCCTCATAGTACTTAGCATAATTCCAAGGCCACCACAGGTGGCTAATTACCCTGCTAACTGAAGAAACTGCCAAATATACCATGGACTTAGGGCTTGCCAGAGTCTCCTAGATCCTCCAATGCATTCCCCTCCTTTTGTTGGCATTATTAGAGGTGCATAACTGGATCCTCTGTTTAGTATTCTCATGATGAGATACCAGAGAAACCATATAAAATATAACTGATAGGCGCAGACCAGATGTAACAGAATTTTTCATTTACCTCTTTAGTCGCTGATCCCAAACTCATCCCTTGAATTTTGAATGGTCTTTGGGAAATGGACCTCAAGGTCTGAATGAGCCCAAAGCTTGGACCTCTGGAGGCACTGGGGTGCAACCCCAGGAGGAATCCTCAGCCTGAGTCCCGCCCACCCACGGTCATGCCCAAGCTGTTGTGGTTTGCCTGTGCTCAGTAGTTCCCCCCAAATCCCAAGTCCTCAGAGGAAGGGATTTAAATGGGCTTTTCTCCTGGGCTCAGCACATCATCTCATTGTCTAAAGACAGAAGAAAATGGAAACTGAAGGTCTGAGCGGCTGTCACTCACCGGACTAGACAGCAGCTCCCTGCATTTGAATGTCTGATGAAACTGGGTGCTGCGTCCAAACCCACTTCAGGGATATTCCTCTATTGTGTGGCTTCATTACATGGTGCAAAACCTCGTGACTGTCTGTCCAGAGATCCTGGCACCAGAGCAAAATAGAAAGGGGTGGAGGGTCCCATGTGACTGCATTGTGTCCTCCACGTCCTTGACAGCGCAGCTGCCCGGTTGTATCTGTCACAAAGAGAACGGCCTAGAAAAATGAATTTCCCCACGGCAGGCCTGACCCGGGAAGACCTCAGAAGCATCACTGTGTGCCTCGGTTTCCATGGAGGTGGCTTCGCATGGCCACTTCAGTCCCAGGGAGTGGGACGTGGTGGGCTTGGCTTAGAAAGCCATGTCCGAGATGTCATGGCCATCCTAAGTGTGTCCTAAGCACGACCACCACTGTGTCCTGCTCACGTGTCTTGTGCCAGGCGTGAGTCGAGCTTGTCATTTCAGTTAATACCCACGACAGTCTTGTGGGTGGAGACTGATATCCCCCTGTGGCAGAACAGGAAACAGCCTCAGTACCTGGCTTACCGCAGAGCAGGAGACCATGGGAACTGACTTCAGCCAGGCTGTGAGAGCCTCTTGCAGGAACAAGCCTGGAAGGGAATACACTGGAAAGGCGTGTCACCTCCTGCACCCCAACTCCACTTGTGTCTGTGCTGTGTCCTCTGTACGTGCAAGGCCCAAGTGCACTTTAAAATTGAACTGTCATCTCCTCTGCCCGAGTCACCCCCAGGCCCGCCTCCTCTA